GCACATTTTTTAAATTTTAAAAAATTGTATTTTAATAATAATAATAATAATAATAATAATAAAAATTCTAGATCGCCCTCTCTCCCCAAGGGGACTCAGGGTAGATTACATACATATTAAAAGGAAAACACTCAATGCCATAATTAACATCACACAATATCAAAAATATAAAGTAGACAATTAATAGACTTACAACCAAAAGAGAATTGAAATTAAGTAATAAAATATAGATACTAAAATAGAACATAATTTCACTAATAAAACATTATTTTACAAAAAACATTACAAAGGTATGCTGGAACAGAAACATTTGTCTGCCTACTTAGAAGTGGCTGAACACTCTCACTCCTTTCTGGAATAACATAATTAAAATGCTTATTTTAAGTGCCCACTAGCATACCCAGCTGTGTGTGGCAGGAGATACAACTGGGCTTGAAAGTTGGTCCTAAGGAACACAGAGTTATACATGGAAGAAGTTATTTATATATTCTGACTTTAGATAACTACATAACAATATCCTAATAAAGCAGAAGGAAACTTTCTCTGAATTTAACACAAACACATTTCAGCACTGGCATAAAATTCTGAAAGCTTGTAGCAGTTGCTTTCCGTGGATGGGACTAACTGATAATGTGATGTCATCAAAATTTCTCTACCCTAATAAAATCCTAAATGAAGTGTTTCACTTTTGAAAGAGCACTTCCTTTGGAGGAAGGGGATGACAGCAGTGAACTAACAGATAAATGTACATGTCATGGTATTAATAATAAGAAAAGCTGAAAGACTGCTGGAATTATGGAAGGAAAGACAAGTCAGCATTCAATTAGCACCTGACAGTTACATTTTGCAGCTGGGAAGAAACCCAAACTACTTGATGGCTAAGATAAATGATATACATTGTCTTGTGGTAATTTGGCTCTGTTGTAGAGGCTGATCCTGCTGCTAATTCAGATTGATTTGAAATAGGAAAGTTCTTCTGAGGGCCCTTCCAGACAGGCCCCATATCCCAGGATCTGATCCCAAGTATTCTGTTTATCCCAGATAATATGGCAGTGTGTAGTCATATAATCCAGTTTAAAGCAGAGACACACACTCTCTTCCACAGTGTTACTTCTACCACCTTCTACCACCTTAAATAATATGAGTTTTAAAATGGTATTGCTGGGGTATTGTTCTAGAATTATTATAAGAAGTTTCGCAACAAAAAAATAGTAAGTGATGGATTTAAAAATTTGGTGGCATTTTATGCAATTTGATAGGCACATAAAGTATTTTTCAGCCCATTTTGCTGTTCCTGTCCTGTTCTTCTTTATCATGGGAAGACTATGATAGCCATTATTATGGATACTGTCTATTCTGTTTCTACATAGTAAAAATATCACAGGAAACCAAGCAAGATTTCACTAGCACAGTATGTCCTCCATATTCACGGATTCAACATCCATGAATCTACCCACATCCCCAAAAGTATATCCCGCACTCAACACCCACCCATAGAAGTGTTTATGGGCTGTTGTGCTAGCTCTTCTATGGCATGCTTCTGGTGCAAATATAGTCAAAATATGGAGTTTGCTATAATCCACAGTTTCAGATATCCATGGGGAAGGGTGATTTTGGGGGGTGTCTCCAGAGGATTCAAGGGTTATACTGTATTCAGTGTAAACTACAAGTATTATTTAGAATACATTCCAGTGATATAATATTCTTTATGAAACCAAAAGACATGTAAAAGATTTTCTGAGGTCAGCAGTCTGAAAACTAAAACTATATGTTACTTGCATCTATTTTATTTATTACATGTTATCCCACATCTCTCCTGAAGAGAAGAAAGACCCAGGGTGGGTACCAAACAGAGTTAAAAACAAAAACGCAGAACAAATTAAGTAATTGAACAATTAATAAAAAGTAAATCCTAAGTTGGAAAGGTCAGTTTAAAGTAGTATTTCCCAAATTCTGGTCTTCCATGAGTTTAAACTTCAGCTTCCAGAATCCTTTTATCACTGGTGAAAACAGCTGAGGCTTTGGGGAGGTGAAGTCCAAAATACCTGGAGGAGCAAAGTTTGGGAAAAATGCCTTCATATGCCCTCCCTAAAAGCAGCAAAAGTAGGAATTGGCCACAATTCTGAGAGGAGTGTATTCTGTACTTTGGGAATAACAGATAAGAGAAACCTCTGCCACATGTCTGCCAATTTTATTCTACCAGCCCTTGTAATGGGTAACTATTACTAGAAATAAATTAGAACTGGGTTTTAATATAATTGATCTCATTTAGTATTTTTAAACTCTATGGCAAAGAGAAAGGCATTCTTCTGAAAGGCAGTTCTCTTTGGCATCAAATAAGACACTTTTGTTTCCTAAATCTACCGTTTTATAAGTTTACTTCTTTGGATGCTGTTCTTAAAAATATTTATATCATGCTTTCCTACTAAAACTCATGGTTGAGCTAGGCACTCAAATTTCATTACATTGAGATGGACAACCTGCAGTTCTGAAGCCTGCTGCAGCTCCCAATGATATTTTTCAACAGAATCACCCCAATTCTGGTCCAAACAAGAAAGTAAATTTACTGCCCTTCGAAGCCTCCAGGTGTAACACTTTCAAAGTCTCTCTGTTACATTTAACATAAAATACCAGTTTTTGAGAACCAGAAGCAAAATTACAGTCATTTTGGCTGTCTGTGTAGCAGGCAGAAGGTCCCATGGCATAAAAGACCTAGCTCAGTTGTCCAACTCTGCATTATATAAATTTTTATTGACCGCAATGACTGCTAATTAGCTCATGATCCCAATTCATGAGCTGGTCTTTGAAGCTGCAAATATTGCTGCCAACATCTAAGGCTACCCACCAACCACTAAGATCTTATTTGGAAGCCTTATTCTCTGGATCTCCATTAGGCTAGTGGATAATAGAGGCAGGGTTCTTTTCGTTATTGACCTAATTCCACCCAAGGAGGTAATTTATAGAGTCATCTAAGAAAATAAACCCAGAAGATGAATGGATCTTGCTCTGTTTTGGTTAAACTGTGATATGATTGAAAAAGTCTGGGTGTCACTATTTTTGGTTATAGAAATGTATTGCTGTAAATGTTAACATTGTAGTGTACTTTGATGTATGATGTATTCGTTAAATAATTTTAAATAAATCATTTTGAAAACTTTATTCTTTCAAACAAATAATGTTGCAATATCTTTAATAAATAAAACAGCCCAGTCTTATGTAGCAACACATAGCCAACTTTGTATAAGATATATCAGTTATATCAGTTTTACACCCGTCAATCATGTGATACATTAAAGGCATTTCAAAATATTTCATAGTGTAGTTGATACCAAATGGCAGCACTACTGAAATAATCAATAAACTGTCTCCACCACTAGCATGGTTAGCTCCTCAACAACTATTAAAACAGAACTTGCGCAAACTTCACACTTCTATAGCTATTGATACCCACAATCTACCCATAAAGACACGCTATTCCAGACCACCATAGTTATGTCTTTGAAGCAATATATTTATTATATTGTTGACTTTCTCAGGCATTTCGAGATTAAAAATATTCTAATGTTATTAATGCAACACTAGGATATTTCGCATGTTTGGCATCTATAAAACTGGATATTTTAGAAGCACCAGAGGCAATGTAGAAAACATTTATTAAATGTGGTCTCGTTCTAGTTAATTCATGGACTAAATATTTTAATCCTTGGACATATCTATAAAGCAAAGTAAACTTACACCGAATGCCTGGTGTTTTGAATAATCATTATTTTAATATCCACTTTATAATACTTTAATCCTTTAGTATGACTCAAAATAATCTTTCCAGATGTGCTATGACGTGAATGAAGGACTCCTTTTGTTTATGGAAGGAACAGGGATCCAGCAGGAGGAGAAGTGGGGAAGAGACAGTGCTTTTCACTGATTATTCCTTTCCCCTGCAGTCCTCACAGCCAACTACCATATTGTTTGAAATCATCTAAGTTGGCAGAGTAGCAGTTGAGTAGAGTTGCAATGAGCAAGAGGAATCAACACATGGAGAACTCCACTGTGTGTCAATCTGGATCCAAGCCTGAAAAAGACCAGTTGTAGCCCGAAAAAAACCTACAACAACCCAGTGATTCTGGCCATGAAAGCCTTCGACAATACTAAGCTGATTTTACTTCTTCATACGTGATTTGTTATTCCCTTCTCCACCAATATTTAAAGGTTTCATATGCATGCTCTTTTGTCTAAAACTGCTAATATCTGGAAGACCATAAAAACTACAAAACATCTTGATAATAACTTTGGCACATTTCTTACACAGGCATTTTGCTTAGACAATATTAAATCATAAAGTACAGTTAATGTAGGTTTAGTTGCTGATCAATTCCTCTGTTTGCTGTGTGCCATAGAAAAGAATAGGAAAGGGTTAAGGTAGAGGCAGTGGGTGGGGTCATGCAAATTCCACACCAATGGAAAGAGTAAGAAACACTGAGATGTCTGTGGTGGAGGAAAAACAGAACATCTGGGTGGTGGGCAGTATGATGCTTATGGAGGACATTGGCAGCGCTGTTGTACATGTTCATGGTGCTTGCTATAACTTGCAATATCATTGGAGGGAGGGCCATTGGTACCTTTTGTGGAGGCAGGAGCTTGCCTGTGTAAGTGGACACCCCAGCCACATACACACATACATATTTTCACTTTTATTATGTGTATAGATATATAGATAGATTAAAATGGATTATTTCAAAATTCTGCCACCTACAGAGAATGTCAAGTAAAGCAATAGTTTTCCAGTTTAAGCTGTGCCATTTGTTTCAACACATGCACAAAAAGGCTAACTGAAGACAGGGAACAATCTATTTTAAAAGAATACATCAATCTTTTCAAGTACACATTTACAACTGACTTTTTGTTCTGAATGTAAAGGCATGGCATTTATGAATCTTTAAATAAAACAAGAACATCTACTGAATAATAAAAATGAATTCCGGAATGTATCAGTCAACAGTTACCTGGATTTTTGTAGATGCTGAGTACATCCTTGAAATAATGAGGTAAAAATCTTTCTAGTAAAAGCAGCACATCCTCCAATTCTTCCAGAATCCCCACGAGAAGGAAATTTTCATTCACATTCACTTTTGCTCTTTCAAGGGCCCATTCACCAGGTTCCCTTAAAAATATTTGAGATTTTTAAAATATCAATTTTGCAAATGTGTTATTCAACAATAAATATGAAATGTTTTCTTTATAGCACACTACTCAGTAATTCAAAATAGTAGTTTGATGACTTATTTAAATTATTTTATACCAAACAATGAGTACAGATGAGAGCGGCACATTAGTGTGTTGGCTGTAGTCCACCAGTGTGTCACATAAAAAATGCTCCTCTTCCCCCCGCCCCTGCAAGCAAAAGAGCGTATTGGCGGTGGTGGCAGCCATTCAACTAGCACCATGCTCAATGCCCTGCATTGGTTGCCCCTGGAGGAGGAGGAAGAGAGTGTGAGTGGAAAGAAGATACCCTCAAAGGACATCCGCCAGACAGGAAAACACAATCAAAGCGGTCTCAATGGACAGCCATCCAACCTCAGTTCAAAGACATTGAAAAAAGAGACTCCACAGGACTCCCAGGAAGTCTATACTTTTCTAGGGTTTGAAGAGACCCTCAAAGGCCATCTAGTCCAACCTCTTCAGTCAGGTAGAACCAAAGCACCCATGGATGGCCATCCAACCTCTGTCACCAACATGAAAAGTTTGGAAAGCTCTGGATGATGGGCTTGTCTACACTACATACACCCCATACCCTGTGTTGAACTAGAAGCTGCTCCTCGTCATCCAACCAACATTCACCAATCTCTGTTATGTAACACTGTTTTGGCCTGCATTAAAAGTAGCCAAAAATGCTCTGCACTCTAGATTAGCATTGACAGTGAACTGGTTCAAATCTGAACTGGTCCACTATTCACATGGACTACTACAACCATCCTGTGGAACAGGGAAAATGGGATGGATTGGGTCCTTTCCTCCTCCCTGATTACATGGGCACATTTGTTGATGTCAGCAAAGGCATCCAGTGATAGACAGGATTTATCTTGAGTTCCACGGTAGTCTGGCAGTGGTGACATCATACCACCAATGTAAGGTGATTGGTTTTAACTCCACTGGAGGCTCTGGACTCCACCTCGATGCTGTGCGATATAGCAGTCTCTGGATTACTGTATGTGACTTGTGTAGATGATGCCTCAGATTCTGAAAGTCCAGGAGTCAAATCCCTGCAAAGCCATGGAAACACTCTGGGTGGTGCTGGGCTCTAGCCAACCTTTCCAAGAAACCCTATGATAGGTTCACCAAAGGGCTGCCATCCGTTGGAAACAACCTGAAGGTGAACATGTATAGCCTCGTAAAACATATTAATGTTTCACTCTGAATATGTTTTGATGGATTTTAACTGTGAATTTTAATGATTTGTTTTAATTCTGTTTTAATGTTTGTATATTTCTATATTTTAAATTGTATATTAATACTTTTATGTCAAGTCACTTTGAGTCCACTTTGGGGAGATAAAGCGGGTTATAAATATAAATATAATAACAATACTAATAAATTTAAAGCAATAAAGGGTTCAATAGATGATAATCAATAGTGGACAGTCAGATTCAGCCGGATATTTATGAGAATTAAAATTTGGTTGTAAAAAGATGTCGATTTAATTTCTACTTTTTAGGGACCTCTGGTTAAGAAAGAAAGAAAGAAAGAAAGAAAGAAAGAAAGAAGGAAGGAAGGAAGGAAGGAAGGAAGGAAGGAAGGAAGGAAGGAAGGAAGGAAAGTGTTGTGTGAATATCATCACTCATTTAGTCTGTGAATAATTTGGTTAATAAGTTTGGGATTTATTTTACCCAATCCCCTTTCATTTGGCACAGCTTGCTCGCTGCCATGACTAACTGACATTCTACATGACTCATTGTCCTTCATGTCAACATTGGCAAGGTATAGTTTTGAGTTTCTAAAGCTATTAGAAACTCCAAAGTCATATACTCCTGGCTCCCATGAGTGGCAAACTTTGGAACAAACAGAGTTGAGAGGAAAAACTGAACATATAGTTACCTGCATCTTGGATGCTGTCCACAGAAATATGGAATAATATAAAATAATCTGGGATTGGAACATTCAGGATAATTCTCAAGAATACATACATTAATATCCTAAAAGAAATGGGTAGAAGTAGGGTGGGGAGAGAAAAGGCAAAATAAAAGGTTAAATGTTGACTGCCATGGTTTTGAATACGGATATTTAGTCAAAGTTCCCACAAAACAACAATCTGTAGCTATCATAGACTCCTGTAAAATATAAGGGATTCTGCAAAATCGGGATACATTTTAGATACATATAAACACATACTTTTATGATAGATATTCCTGTTTAATGACATTAATTCTATAACTGACATTTCCCAAAATGGCTTGTGTTCAAATGTAGACATGTGATAATCCGTGATAGAGCAAGTGAAAAAAACCCATTACTATAGTTTTTTAAGAAGACATTTTTGTCAATGTTAAACTCTCACAATCTGCTATACTGTGGTATACTGGAGTATATAATACCGAAATAGCAGTTGGAACACCCAATTTGACCCCTGTTCAACTATAGGGTAATAATGAATGCCTTCATCCACTTTCTCTTAGCATTGTACTTTTCCACAGTGCTGCTTTGAGTATAAGGGAAAAACATGTACTATATGACAAATACTTGAAAGAAATACATGATGAAAATGAACAGATAATAATGTAGATAACTCTTCTTCTTTCTATTTTGGTTGAAACTCCCTCCCCCACCATATTTTACTATCAAATGAGCTTTTCATATGGGCATGGTTGTTTATATAATAAACTAGGCATATGCAAAAAAATAAATAAACCAGAAGAGTCAAAAACTGTAAGAAAATCGGAAGTTTTGTAAGTTGGAAGCCATATCCAAAACATTTATGTGGCCCACACAAATTATTTTAGAATCTAAACTTACTCCATACTTTTTGTTTTAGTTTTATAAATCTTGGAAGGCTCCCAAAGTAAGTTTCATATTCAGTGCAAGGAAGCAAAGCCATTAAGCCAAAAAGGCTGCCTGCTTGCCTTGCCATTTATCTCCCTGGAATTAATGGTGTCTCCTCTCAGCATTAGGAGCAGTGAAAAGAGGGAGCAGTGCATTTTGGGAAAGGAGTAGCCCTATGCTACAGAATACAAAAGACCCTGCCCAAAATGACATTTTCCAGACTGCATCAGCATCAGAAAGCACCAATAAGAATAGTGGAGAGAACTTTGCTTTTGTGGAAATCTTATCAAAAAGTTGTGGATAAATTAAATGTTCTGACATTTGGTTGGCTAACAGTGGTAAATGTGTTCTACCATTGCAGCAAGTTTCATCCCATCAGCTTTAAAAATGAGGGAGATAGGAGCCCCTGAAGTTTCCCCAAAAGTACATTTCCCAGACTGCATCAGCATCAGAAAGCACCAATCAGGATAGCGGGAAGTGAGGTCCCTCAACATTTTGCTTTGTTGGGTCTCCACCAATTTAGCAAAGTTTCTGAAATAGAACAACTATTTTTAAAGTAAGGATTAGATGATTAAGTAGGAAATAACACTTTGAAACTAGGAACAGATTTTCTTTATTATTAAAACTTTGAAAATTTGCCAAAAAAAGTGAAATGTACTGAAATTTGGTGGACTAACAGTGGTAAATATGTTCCACCATTGTAGAAAGTTTCACCACAATAACTTTAAAAATGAGACAGAGAGGAGGAGTCTCCCCAATTATAGTAACTTAATTATGTGCATGCACAATTATAGTAACAAAATAGTAATGAAATTTCATTAGTCTCATTATAGTAAAGAATTTTCACTGAATATACAGGGTTAGTCAAAATGAATAGGCCAATAAGAAAATTAATTTTAGACGAATGTATGTTTACTGTAACCAAACCACAGCTACATAGCGACAGATAAACTATCAAAGTTTTTTTTGAGCAACACACATGTACGTTAATGCCGCTAGGCGTCGCTAGGGGTCGCTGTTTTCAAAATGGCGGAATCAAGGGGGGCGGAGTTACCATGGCCGGTTGAACAGACGTCTTTCCTCCAGCTCTTGTGGAAATATAGCAAAAAAGCAGTGAAAATGAATGGATAATTGTCCTTTCTGGATCAAAAGGGAGGCGAAAGTCTGGTGCACGTGGAGAGCCTAAGAAGGTAATTTATTACCAATTACTTGCTTTGATTTATGAGCTTTGGCAGAAGATAGGGCGGCTGCCGAAAAATGGCTTGGAAGCTGCTGTTGAAAGTGAAACTAACTTGCCAATTATAACTGCGCACTGACTTGGAGAAGACTTGGAGAAGATAAACAGCTGCAATTTAAATACAATATTAAATACTAAAAATATTGGACTTAATGACTTAATGATCCGGAAGGCAAAATAAATATTAGAGGCAGATTCCTCCTTTGAAGAAGGATCGAGCCAGTCTCGTTACATTAAAGGCAACCCTCCTGGCATTGCAAGGCATAATTGAGTGGGACTTTTTTGTACTGTGTGCTGTGTAGAACGGGAAAACAAAGCAATTAAAAATTGATGAAAGCAGGAGGAGTGAAATTGAGGTTGAATGAGAAAGAATAAACAAAGTAAGGATACCTCAAAACCAAATCCTCTTTGGTTGCGTTCCAAACCTTCGGACAGATCGCTTTCAAGATTAGAAAGACTGGAAAGGGTCCCTGAGGAAA